GAAAATTTTCGACGGAATTTATTTCTGTGGAAAATTTTCGACGGAATTTATTTACGTGGAAAATTTTCGACGGAAAATCAAAGGAATTCTGTCGAAAATTGTTGTGGTGGTTTTCGACGGAAAACAAATTCCGTTGAAAATTTTCCACAGAAAATCAATGAAATTCCGTCGAAAATTGATGTGAAAATTTTCGACGCAAAACAAATTCCGTCAAAAATTTGCAACGGAAAATCAATGGAATTCCGTCGAAATTTGTTAGGATGGTTTTTGACGAAAAATGGATTCCATCAAAAATTTGCAACGGAAAATCAATGAATATCCGTCGAAAACTGATGTAAAAGTTTTCGACAATAAATAAATTCCGTCAAAAAATTTTAGAATTTTTTAAAAAAATTTCGCTCTACAAAATTAATTTCAATTTTCTATAATGCACTTGATAAAAAATATAATCAAAATAAACAATATATCAAAATCAAATCTCCTTAATCATTACATTAAATGCACAAAAGTCCCTATAAAGTATTTAAAAAGGCTTATACAATTAGCGAACGATATACAATAAATATATATTGTAACCTTAAAAAATTAACATATCAATACGCAATACAAAATTAACTTCGTAAATCAACGAAACAATTTCTTCTTAGAATACATTTATCTCAAAACATTATTATGAAATCTGGACGATGCTATAATAAAATCTGGAGGATGCTTCAAAGTCTTCCTTATCAAGTTTTCCATTTAGCCATGCACCTTCAAAATCCGACGGTGGATGTTCGTAAGCTATAAATTAAAATCAGGATGAGGCATTACAATAATGCTTACTTAAAACAATATTTTTTTGTAAGTGCATTTTTTTAATAAGTACCTTTATATCTCTATGAACAATGTCTCAAAATTCTGACTCTCGTTTCACATTTCAATCGTCTGTCTCTTCCTGAACAGACTCAAACACACACAAACATGTCAACAACATATACAATAACCTTGGGAGATGAAAGCGATGTGAATTGAGGTGCACAAAATTAATTAGGAAGTTTTCAAAAATGAAAATAATAAATATATCATTAGTATTAATTAGGAAGTTTTCAACCTTGAATGAAAATAATAAATGATATAATTAGTATTAATTAGGAAGTTTTCAACCTTGAATGAAAATAATAAATGATATAATTAGTATTAATTGTGACGTTTTCAAAGTTTCAACCTTGAATGGCATTGATTGTGAAATTCGAATTTCAAAGTTTTCACCTTAAAAGAAAATAGTAAATGACATTGATTGAGAAATTGAAATTGAAGTTTGGAAGTTTTTAACCTTGAATAAAAATAATAAATGATATAATTAGTATTAATTAGGAAGTTTTCAACCTTCAATATTTTATGAAAGAAATCAGTAAAATCATCATGCAAAAATGAGATATAAGCAGTCTAAGCACACTATTTTTATTTTTTTATTTTTTCTGGTCAGGAGGGGAGCTAAATCATTGTAATCATCTTTGATATGCTTTGCCAATTTAGCATAGCTTATTGAAAGAATTTTGGGAAAGTTATAGTATCAATAATTAATGATTCCAACACAAGGTTTAAAATTCAAAAATTATAGACACAAAGGCATTAACAAGAGCAGCAATAGTAAAACCCCCCCTTAATTTCGTTAGTCAAAAGATGGAATGGAACGAGGCTGCATATATGTTTGAGGAGAAATTGTCATGTTTTTAAAGGGTGAGATGGAAGTGAAGAAAAAAGATGACATTGGAGATGAAGAATAGATAAACAAAATATAAACTAAAAAAAGACATTACATATATACTATAAAGATTAATGAAAATGGATCAATATTAAGAATAATTATACACAAGAATGGAAAATTAAATAAACGACAAATATTTTAATAATAAAAATATCAAAATATTTCTTAGTGCATTTCCTCAGCGTAAGACAAACTATAATAGTAGATTTTATCTTATTCTGTTCAGTACATATCTTTTTGAATTTGATGGCCAGTTGGGCATGACTATCGGATGGATCCTTTTTTTTTTTTATAATTATTAAATAGATAAGTTATTATTACTTTCAATTAATATTACTATCAACGTTATTACTAGTTTGTTTAACCGTTACATCAATTATGTTGATCCAACGGTTTTAATTTTATTTTTTAAAACTTTCTTTCTCCTCCGTATATTTAATATTTTATATTTAAATATATTTTTGTATGGTTATGATTGCACATATTTAATTCTTTCACATTAACTATAGGGAATCGTAAACATATAAAGGTGAAAATAAATTTAACCATTGGATCAACATAATTTTTTTAATAGTAAAATAAACTAATAATGACATTGATAGTAATACTAATTGATACTAACAATATCCTACTTCATTATTAAATTACATGCATTGTCATTCTTTAAACCTAAACATTCAATCATGGAAAAACTATTTGTGTTTTAAAAGGATATAAGTTGTATTTTTTTACTCTATGTATTCATGGTAGTACATAGATATAACATGAAAAGTTATTTTTTTATCTCTTCTCAGTCATATTAATATATATATTTTTTTTATATTATAACCATATGGATTATAAAGTAAAAAGTTAAAAGGATACATCTTATATCTTTCTTTCTTTTTTGATAACATACATCTTATATCTTTAAAAGTACCCAGACTAAACCCTTCAACTGTTTATATTCTAATCAAAACATCCGCTTCCTTCGTATTAAAAAAAAAAAAAAAAAAAACATCTGCTTCCATCAAGGACAACACACCACATATGAATAATGTACTTCAAGCTGACAATGAAAGTAGTTGACTCTTAGAAAAGACCACACTTGGTCTTTTTTCTCTCATGGATTCTTTTTGTTTTTACAACTCAAATCTCCCATACGAAGGGGACCCATAACTCCAAAGCAAAAAGACTCTTCTTATTATTAGAAAACGATGGCATAAAAAAGGGTGATTTCTTTTACCAGAATTCGTCCATATAAATAGGCATAGTTACATAAGTAAGTTACAATAGATAAAGATATGTCTATATACCAAAAAAAAAAAAAAAAAAAAGATATGCCTACAGCTAATACTATGATGTACGATCGATAAAACCGAATCTACTCAAAACAAGGCTGGTTGAATATATTTGTTACTAGATATAAGATCAAATCTTGATTTTTTTTCCATCTCTAATATTTGTTCCTCTCTGTTTTTTAGTTTCATTTGTTTTGAAAATTGCTAAAGCTGCTTACCAAACAAAAAGAATAAAATAAAATAAATTTGACTGGATTCTCAACTCAAAAATATCACCAGAGAACCTTTCATCGACACAAAAAGGTTGGATTCTCAACTTGACATATGGGAACCAGTTAACTGGTTTGACTGCAATATGCAGAGCCACACCTAAATTATTAACAATTTAGGCTTTGGTAAATCCAAGTAATCTTATTAACAAAAAAATAAAATAAAAATAAAATCCAAGTAATCCGATACAAGTTTCAAGTATTGGCAGATTAGTAAATATAAATAAGCATTGTCTTATGTTAAAAAGGATAATAATCTCATCTGCATCCTCCTCTATGAATCTCTTATCTCTTAATAACGAAATATTGCATAATTGGATAGATGTTTGATCATAAAACAAATCCTTAATCTAACAACATAAAAACACAAAACAGAGTTTTCATTCCACAAAACACCAGTAAATGAATAAAAAATTAAAAAGGGCACCAATTCCAGGCGAGACAAAAGTCTTACATAGCTTTACTGGGATAAGCAGAAGTGCATAATGCCGAAGTAGTGTTATCTTCACTGAGATAAGCGCTAGCCATAACATAATCAGGAAAAGTTGAAGCACCAGTTCCACATGGTCGAAGAGTGTTAGAGTAAGAAGTGAAACAAACTCTGGTTTCCCATTCATGCTCGCATATCTCTCTCAATCTCCAAGAATTTTGACCACTCAAATCAAATCCATAAACATTTTTCTTGGTGGCAAATATCAAACAATCACCATTCATGATTGTAAACCCTTGAACACTTGGATCTTCCTCCTTCAACCCCATAGCTTTCAACCTTCTTTTCAAAATCTTTCTCCATAAATTTGACTCGTAGTCCACCGAAACCCATATGGTAAACACAAATTTCATGTATCTCACCAAACAAATAGAATGATCCAAACTTCTCACCTTCCCCCATTCAAAAATACCCATATCGCAACTTTCATGATTAGAACCTTTTCTTGCATCATTGGGGAGCCTAAACATTCTTGATTGACAACTCTCAAAATTGTATGCCATTATATATGGCCTAAAATAACGACTTCTCCTGTCAATATAATCAAAACTATTTGATATAAAGTGGAGAGAGCTATGAAGATACACAGGCATCTCAAGTCTCATGCTTCTACTACCAACGAAAAAACTCCTCTCCATTGCTTGCCATACACCTTCCTTTGGAAAATACACTTTTAAATCAAGATATGATGACCATTCAGGGGGTTTGTCAATCAAGAATATCCTATAGTCATCAAAATCAAGATCTTTATTAATGCACTCAAAAAATAAATTGATATCAGCATCAGGAGTTTCATGCACACCTGCTGGGGTAGGAATGGGAAGCCACGTTTGTGATACAAGATTGCAAATAAACAACTCAACCGGGCTCTTTGTTGTGCTTCTACACAGAACCAACCCATTACTTGATGCAAGGATTCTTGCTGATTTTCCTAAGAATGTGAGAAAATTCTTAAGCACTCCAGAAGATAACTCCTGTTGAGGTAATGGGTGGATTTCAATTCTGTCATTGTACCTCTGGATTGTGTCTGGCTGAACAATGAAGCAAGTATCATCCTTTAGCAACATATTTTGTGCTTGCTGCATGCAAAATAAAGTTTCTCCAGAAAAGTCTAAGAAGGAGATGCAGATGCAATTGGCCAAGCAGCCATGCTGATCAATTCAATCTTGGATACTCACTCTGGCCCCTTAACAAGTTGCAAGATTCGACACATGGATGAGAGCTGTGCAAGCGGGGAAGCTGTGGGGTGGATGAGGAAGCTATTGGAGCAGAAACGGGTGAGAGAGCTTTCCATGGAACGCGAATCCCCTTTTAATGCATTTCGTATACAAAATGGACAACGTAGACTGGAAGAACATGGAATGATTCTCGATTTGCCTTTCGATATTTTTTCAGGTTTTGAGGTGCTTCAATTGAAGAATTATTACCTTAATACTTCACCCTCTGTTGATGTTCCTCAAACTTTAAAAACCCTAACATTTATTAAGGTGAATTTGCCGCCAGTGGATTTGCAAGGGATTCTCTCCAACTGTTCATCTCTTGAAAATCTAACTCTTGACTGTTGTGGTTTCAGAAAAGAGGTTAAGATCAACTGTCCAAGTCTCAAATTTTTTAAAATTTGTAGAATGACTGTGAATGAGATTGTGATTTCTGCTGCTAACCTTGATGTCATAGAGTTCGATACCATTGTTTCTAACCCTCAAAGACTGGATTTAAAGGCTCCAAAACTTAAGGTTCTCCGTTGTTACAATGATTTCAAATTTGAAAGGCGTTATTATTTTGAATCTGGGAAAAAGCTTTTGACCTCAATGGAGCTTCTAGAAGCTTGCCGTGATATTCAAGTGAGTATTTATTCTCCACCAGTCTATACTTCACTAATTGGTTAGGACTGTGTCGTGGTTGTGTCTAGTTTTATCCTGTGTGCATTTGCTTGCAATTGAGATGTTGTGACTGTGTCACGTTATGTTATCTACAATTTAAACCTCATGATGTACTTGTTTGATTTAGAAGTTTGTGTAGACATATGCTTCATACCTCCGTTTTAAGTTGATTATTTATAGACATATTCTACAATTTAAGTTGTTTATTTTTTTTATTTTTTTTTGCAGAGTCCTCAGAGTTCAAGCATCGCCAATGTATTTGAGAATCTGGTTACTCTCTCCATTGAATTAGATTTGAACAATGTCAGAAATGTCATATCTCTCTCTTATTATCTTAGATCTTGCCCTCATTTGCAGAATCTCGAAATAAACAATAAGGTACACTTACGATTACTTTAGTGAAATGCTTGTAATTTTCCTTTTATATTTAGTGACACGTACAGTTTTATCCTGCTACAGGTTAGGAATGAGTCAATGGATCACTACAGTAGTGTGTTTAATGATAATGGAGATGATTGGCTGCTATTCCATAAGCATTTCTTTTGGCAGAGAAGGGTGCATTTTGAATGTATTAATCACCAATTGAAGACCATTTGCATAAGGGGTTATACAGGTAAAAAACTTGAAGTTGAATTTGTTAAGTGCATAATAACTACTGCTGAAAAGATGGAGAGGATCACAATTTGCTTTGTTGATGATTGCTCATGGGCACAAGCCACTGCTACTTTCTGTTTGTTGGCATTTCCGAGGGCCTCTAGAAAATTGTCAATCATTCTGAAACCTGGGATTGAGTACATTACAAAAGTAGGTGCGAGCTTTAAAAAGTGGATCTCAACTCGAAAACTATACTAATGGTCTGTATTTTCATTGTAATTTCATGGTTCTAAACATTGCAATTTTCAACTCTAATATTTGTTAAATTACAAAATAAAAGTATTGTTTATTTCTTGTTTGGTATCCTGAGATTTTCATATATTTTCATTGATTATATTTATGCGTATTACTTGTTGCAAATAGTCTACAACCATATACGAAAGATTATTTTGAATGGGTTTGGTACAGGTACATCAATGATGCACGACGATTTTGGATCTGAGACGTAAACATTACACAAAAAAACCGTTAAAATGGAGAATGAAATCCAAAAGACTCATTTGGTGAACTGATCATAGCCTCCTCAGAGGTTATACACCACATCAAAGTGAAGGGGTGTGTTTGCTTCCACATAAACTTCCTTCTCTTTATAAGGATGTTGCTAATTCTTATAGAATTGTGAATTGGAAGCGTAGTGATGATCATCCACAAGTGGAAGCAATGAAGAGCAAACGAAATATTAAGGAGTAGTATATGAGTGATGCGTATGTGACAATTAGTGGGGGTCATATTTTGAAACGGTACAATGCTAGGAGGAAATGTAGCATGTTATTAACACCTTCCTTATTTACAAATTTGTATTCAAAAGCATGGGGCTGTTTTATTTCTGGTTTAGGCCAAAATTAATTCGTTATTTATCACTCCGAATTTTTCTTTCATATGCCTTATTAGTTATTTTTTAATTGCACTTTTTGAATTACTCTCAATTAGGTAATTTTTTAAATTAAAATTAATCAATTACATTTTCTACTATATATTCAGATATAATGACAGACAATTTAAGAAATTGTAATTATATGCTAATTAACTGGGTGTGTAAATTGATAATTAAAAATTCTAAATACACTTCTTAAATTTTGAATGTAAATGTATTTAACGTATATGTGTGATAGATAAGATACAATAAGACAACGCCATTTAAATACGAATAAACAAATAAAAATATTAATGTTTGTCTTGACTAGCAATTAGCGAATAACTTTAAAGTTTAGTTCAAAAATAAAATAAAACCAGGTTGCGTATGAATAAAAAATTAAGCTTGTTAGAATATAGCCTCATCCGATCGATGGAAATCAAGTATGCTCTGAATTTATTAGGCCACCTCTTTTTATATGCAGGTCTTTATAATAACTTTTTTTTAATAATGAAAAAACATTGTAAAAAAGGTATTGATGCACCCAAGCTGTTAACTTGGATTGAACTTTTCTATAATTTATTTCATAATTTAGGAATTTTCATAATTATGAATTATTTCTTTTTTTGTTATTTTTAAATTATGTTTGAGTGTGAAATGGTTGTGCGTTATCTTCTTTGATTGCGTATGGTTATAGTTATTTACTTTTTTGTTATTTTATTTTTTCTATTTAAGGCTTGTAGAACCCTATTATTATCAGGTCGTTTTTGGTTAAATAAAATGTTTAGCCAATTGGTTATTGCTTCGGCATTATTTGATAATTAGAGCTCTGGTTGTCACATAAACAGCTGAACAGAACAATGACGGTCGAGCTCGAGCTTGAGCTCGTAGAAAACGAGGTCAAGGCGACAGTGCGGCGGTAGAGGGTGTGGTAACACCTTTAACAACGACGACTGATGACCACACATCTACGGTATAAATGCTGATTTTCCTAAGAATGTGAGAAAATTCTTAGGCACTCCAGAAGATAACTCTTGTTGAGGTAATGGGTGGATTTCAATTCTGTCATTGTACCTCTGGATTGTGTCTGGCTGAACAATGAAGCAAGTATCATCCTTTAGCAACATATTTTGTGCTTGCTGCATGCAAAATAAAGTTTCTTCAGAAAAGTCTAAGAAGGAGGTGCAAATAGACTTCAATTTGCAAACTGATTTTGCGGGAAGCCATTAGAATATGTCAAACACTTCATCCTCACACAATGATGCCATAACTAAATCTAGAGACAAATGATAGGATGAATAATAGAAGAGCCCCAAATTTGAGGTTCAACACCAGTGGTTATTACTTTTGTTGCCACTATATGAGCATTAGAAGGTTATACGAAACTTGGCCTTCAAGTTATTAGGGAGTAGGATTATTTTGTTATCATGAATCCTCCCGAAACTTGTTCTTCAAGAAAATCTTAATATGTTTTAATTAAATCGTTTGAATATTTTCCAAAATTAGTTCCATTATTATCCTTTTGATGATTTATTTCCTTTTCTATAGTGATAATTACATAACAAATATGACTATCCTATTTTAAAATAGGATCAACTAATTTTTTTTCTTCAGAAAATCTGAAAACAATCATATAGACCATTGCAGTTTAAAATACCAATTTAAAATACCAATAGATAACAATAGTTTACCACCACAAAATCTAAGCCAAGGGGACGGTTATTATTAGATACTATTTTTTTTATACTCTACTTTCTCTTAGTTGTTACTTGTCATTTTGCACGTACCCCCACTCTCGCGCTATGTCAGCGTATTGATTTTATGGAAAATATAAATTTTTTATAATATAATTTTTACAATAAAATAATTTTTGCACAAAAATAAACAAGTAAAAATGTAAGAATTTTTTTAATTATTTTTTCAATAATCCTTGAAAAGTTGGTTCTATGTTAAATCTTTAAAGTTCTCAATTTTATTGTACCTTGGAATTATGATTTTTATTATTAAGTAATACTTATAGTAAAGATTCTTATTATTCAATAAAAATTTTAATACAGATGAAAAATTTAATGGTTTAATTTTTTTAATGAAAATCAATTAAACAAGATTTTGTATAACCATATCAACTTTTTTCGATAACAAATCAAATGATGTTGATATTTTACATAATTTTTCATAATTTATTTTTTTTAATACTTTTAACATTAAGTATATAAAGGCATTCAAAACTATAAAAGCTATTCTATGTTCCTATTATTAATTTGTATAATCTATTTATAATTTTAGAGTAGGGTTATATTGACAAATTTTTATTTTTTTACAAACTTACAAACAACATTATATCTGACCGATAATATTATACCCAAGAGTGTCTTACCAGTCAGATATAGTGTAGTTTGTAAACAAAAAAATTATAAATATAATCTTCCCCATAATTTTATAGTTGGTAAATATAAGTTGCTGATTAATTAAATTATAAAAATTAGAAACATAAAATCCTATTAATGTTTTTAAATTCATATGAGACTGTATAAAATTTAATTAAATCATAAAGATTTACAAAATAAGTTACCTATTTATAAAGCCTCAAAAAAAAAATATCGAGTTCATTATTTGTTATTTTTTTAAAATAAAAAAAAATAATTAAAAGAATCTGGATTCTCTCTATGTTTAATTTTAACATGACTAAGTCATATGAATTTTAATCATTCAATAACAGGTCAACGGTCAACAATTAATTTAAAAATTTCTTCTTTTTCGTTTTATATATCTTGTCAATAAAATTATTTTTACCTTTTGACACACACACATATATATATATTATTTAATTTTAATTTTAATTTTATCTTTATTTTATCTTTATTTTTATTTTATTTCTTTTTTTTATCTTCTTTTCACTTTTATCTTTTTTTCAATCCCTTCGTATCTTTCATTTGGATTCATCTACCACTGATTCAAATTAGTTTGAGATAAATGTATTGTTAATGTTGATATATCATATTGAATGGTTGAGATTCATCACATCACATGATCAAGTTAAAATTAGATATAAGATGTTCCATTTTTAATAAGGCTTATCCATTAATATTAGTTATTAGATAAATAATATTTTTTTTAACATTTCGGACTATTGGATTCAAATTTAGATGATTCAATCGATGTAATCTCATATTTTAATATAAGTTTATCTCTTATATTATTTAAATTTGACAGAAATGTATTTTTAAGTATTGAATTTTATATATATATATATATATATATATATATATATATATATATAGACAAATTGATTTCTGCAGCCGCTGCACATACAACAAGTCAGGATACGGAACCGGATCTTATTTTTATTTTTATTTTTTAAACATTGGAACCCATTTTTTTGTGTTAGCTGCAGATAGTAGTTCTCTATAGCGGCTGCAGAAAAAGTATCCCCATATATATATATATATATATATATATATATATATGGGGCAGGTTCCTTTGACATCGGTGTCAAATTTAAAATTTGACACCTCATCTGAAAGCCGTTAGATCAAAAAAGATCAACAACTCTGATTTGTAAACATGTGACACCGTTAATCTTTTTTGATCTAATAGTTTTTAGATTAAGTGTCAAATTTTAAATTTGACACCGGTGTCGTATATATATATCCTGACAGTTATGCTGAACGGGTAACACGATTACATTGTCTTTACTTCAATTGAAACTCCTCATTGCTAACCACGTGTATGGTAGGTACAAGTATATCTAACACACCCTTAGTTACATGTCATCACAATATCTACTTGGTACTTTATTTACCTTTCTAGTTCTCTATTTCTTTTTTCTTTTCTTTTTTGTATAAATTCTAGTTCTCTTTTTTGCTATACAAGCAGCGTCTTCCTCTTGATCTATTGTGCAGTTACTTTCTGCTTCTAGATTCTGATTTAGTTCCTAGTCTTGGTCCATAACAACACCCCCACAATGACAAGCTACATTGCCCTCAAGGTTGAAGGATGAATTGCCGAAATCGCTCTAAGTTCACCCAAATGATTACCTCTTTAGGCCTACCTGCCCAAAGGACTTGGACTTATTGTTGGCCATCTGACAGTGAGTGTTGTAGGAGAATCCGGTTGGGTTCCAACACTAGATGGTTGAGCGTAAATAGGTTAGGTTAGGTGTAAAGAACCTTGGGATACACCATTCAAAAACTAGCTCAAAGGGTGAGAGTGGCCAAAGCCTTTATAAACTCCACATTAGTTGCACATACGACCAATGTGAGACTATATATCTTAACACGCCCCCTTATACGAGAGCCAATTGGGCTAGAAGCGTGGATATTGCAAAGGCTCTATTTTTTATTTACCTTTTTGTGCTTTTATTTTAATTCCACTTTAAAGCGGGGGACGATGAGGATTGAACTTGTGACCTTATAGTCACTCAAGCTCTGATACCATGTAAAGAACCTTGGGATACACTGTAACACCCCGTATATATCCGGTAATGTTACCATACTATCGTATTAAGCTGCGCTTAATTTAAAAATGCAGAATATCTTTTTCTTTTCAATTATGATGTCATTATCATTACCAACTTGCTTATTAATCAATTAATAAAACATCGTCTGTATGTAATTGCAATAAAACAGCTAACTGAAATACCTCATAATATAGATAATAAAAGTGTGTCTCTAGAAATCACAGAACAACCACAAGTAGGCCGGACCAACTAGCAGGTTATACAACTCCAATCTAAAAGTACTAGCATAAAGTGTCATGGACAATCCCCATGCTCACTCAAATAAGGCAACACGCCCAACATCAGTCTCATCAACAACATAATCATAAATAGTGGAAA